GAGAGAATAATACTTTATTATTTAGGTTACATGATTGGTAAAAAGCAAGTCAAGAAGGATCCTCAAAGTGTCAGGTCAGAATTAGAAAGAAATAAGATATGTGCAGTTTTAAAGGGACTTTAATCAAAGTCCCTCAGAGGGATAAGTAGGTAGAAGGAAAGGCAAGAGTTTAAGCATGTAGGAGAGAGAAGTATGTGTAGAAAGTTTAAGGAAGGTATAATTTATTTGCACAGTGTGAATAGAGGTTTTGAAAGTGAAAAGGTTTGGAAACTCTTGAAGAGTTGTTGGAAAATATTCTCTTCCTCTCTCCCGCTTTCCAACTTTGGCCAAGTTGTTGAATGTAGAAGAGAGAAAGATAAGGAGGAAAGGAGGGTGAATCTTTCCCTCAGATCAAAGGGAGGCAGGCTAAATAAGCCTTTAACCATTCCCTGCCTTACCTAAAAGAGAAAAATTTTTGTGTAGTAGGACCCAACCAGAAAAAAATTGAATTCTTTTTGGTTGTATTTTAAAAAAAATATGAAAATGTAATGTGTCACTCCTAATTTAATGCTTAAGATAGGTCAGAATTTATTTTACTATTTGGCACTAAAGTAAGAATAGTAAACAAAAATCTTAAGCAGGCAGCTTAGAGTGAGAGCTGATAGCCTAATTTAAAAACCAATAGATAAAGTTATGGAGAGATAGAAGGAATTATGTCTACCCACCTTTTGGGCTAGATCTGTGGGTGGGTTCTATTAAATCTAATATGGATACTGGCTATGGTAAAGATACTGGTTATTGTGAGTTCTGATTATTACTGTTCAATTAATTATCAAGCTGCAGAGGTGTCTATCTGGAGGGAAAGCTGATCATACTTTGTCAGCATTGATTCAAATTCCTTAGGTTTGCTTTTCTTTTCCTGGGCCAAAAAGAAGTAGTTAAATACTGTCCCAGCACATTTTAAATGGACCTGATTACAATAGGTGATTCCAAACTGTTTGTAAAAGTTTCGCAAGAAAATGTGGACATGAATGGGGAGCTGAAATATTGAAGAAATATATGATTTTGTGGATAATATTCCTTCATAAAGGGCCAAGGGCATTGAACTTAGAAATGTATATTTGTGTAATTTTAAAAGTACATACTGTTATTTGGCATTAAGAAAGTTATTAACGATATGGCCCCAAGAACGTTCTATTTACTTTAGTTTACTGTTCAGTAAAAGGGTCGATGATGGTGGAATTCATTCCCAGGGATATTGCGAAGATCACATGATTGTAAAGATGCTTGGCACAATGCTTGGCATAAAACAAATGCTATCTGAATGTAAATTGTTTTAAGTTAAATATAATTGCTTCATATTCATTAACTTTATGTGGATTTTCTTCAGTGTGAAGTTTATGTCAATGGTGATGAGATGAATGATTCTCTATGTAAGGCAATTTGGGAACACATCTCATTAAAGTAAAGCCACCAAAGTGGTAATTAATTGGTTTTGTTTTGGTTTTAAAGTTTAAATAGATGATAGTTGTTTATGGTATTGTTGTATTTCTAAAATTTTCCTTTATTACATAATTTGGTAAACAACTATATCATCTGTGTTGTCAGAAAAGCAATTTCTCTTACAATCTAAATGTTGTTAGGTTAAGAATTGTACTGTAAAAAAATGATGAATGGGTTAGGAAACTTTTAAGAAATTCCGTTTGACATGTATTATAATATTTTGAAGTATTGTAATTTAAGAAATCATAAAATTTCCAAATTTTGTCTTTATTTAAAGGGAATTTTCAGTTAAAATTGTTTTGCTATCATTTATGAAATTTGTGAGATTGTTAACTAAGTTATTTGGGGTTACTGTTTTAATGCTAAAACCTAAAAGGGTTAATTAATTACTGTATGTGGAAAGAAGGGGATAGTGTAAAGCCTTATCAGTTGGTTCTGCCCATTCAAGGGCACCAGTATCAGCCCTCTCTGAGGGCCGTGTCAGTTCTCCTTATTTTGTAAACTTGCCAAGGTCCCTGGAAACCATCTGTGTGGGCAAGGTCATCTACCCTGAGAAAAGAACTTGTTAGGATTACGCAGTTCCTAAACAATGAACTTGGCTTGCTGAAAATTTGCAAGTGTACAGAAATGATTTCTAATGATTGGCTTTTACACCACGACAAGTTTAAATGTGAGAAGGAAAGATGTAAAGTGAAATCTCTTATGTATGAGTCTTGGTAAATCTTTATTGCTTATTGCAACTCCATGAGAGTAAAATTAACTGTATCTGGCTTTAAGTTGTGATTAGTGAAACTTGCTGTTTGAGGTAAAAGGCTCTTGGGACTATAACTAATTTTGTTTTGAGTTTGAATTTGGGTATAGTTGTCTGCATTAAATCAGTATCTGAGAGAAATGCCACAAGCTACTCAGAACAAGGGAAGGTCTGCATCTGGGAAAGCCGAGGGACAATCTTAGCCTCAATCTAGGATGGGATCCTTCTGGCTCAGTTTCCCCATTGTGTTCCTTTGGAAAGGCATGTTTCCCACCTGACTATTCCTGAGTCTGGCTATGAGGAGAAACAGATACTGCATAATTGGAGAACTGTGACTCTATCTGAATTTAAACAAAGCTAAGGATGTTTTATCCTGTCATATTTGGTATGTCATATGTCCTTGCTCTTTTTCCTTCTATAGTAACTTTCTATGATCAGAGCAAGTAGTCAGTATAAGATGTGAGCTCTTTTGTGTTATCTTACTGGGAAATCTAATAATATTTTTATTTAGAACTAGAACATGTGCAGAAATTTATGCAAACTGCTTAAGACTCACCTTAAGATGTTCCCTTTGTTTAAAAGGATTCTAAGAGCAGTAGTATTTTTCCTGTAATCAGTCTCTTACTGTTACCAATGTGAGATTCTATTACAACACCTTTTGACTAAGGAACTTTGTGATATTTAGGGATTCTGTGATAACTAGGAATTTAGTTTCTTGATAATACTCTGGAATTTGTGTTACTTAAGGACTTTTGCACCAACTTAGTAAGATTTTATGAACAAGAGTAGAAATGCATGCAAGCTATTTGGGGCTCGTTTTGGAGATGTTCCTTAGGCAATGTGAGATTATAGTCATATCTTAAACTGATTATTGGAACTTGCTATTCAAAGACTTAATGGGACTAATGACTGACTGTTTCTGAGTCTAACTCCAGGTGTAAATATCAAGGAAGGCTGTCTGAGCCACTGATCCATGATGCCAGCAGCCCTGTGAGGGGCAAGTATGAACTGCAGGTATGGGAAGGTTGAGAGGGCAACTGTTCTGCATGTGCTGAGGTGGGACTCTTGACTTGATTCCTTAACTGAAACCTGGTGGACTTTTAAGTCTGGCTCAATGCAGTTTGCAGTTTGACATAATACTCTGCCTGGAGTTGACAGGAAGTTGGGGAAATGTTCCCTTACTATAAGTCTCTAATCTCTTAGTGGCAAATTTCTATAATCAGGAGGTTTTGTAACAGTAACAAATTTACTAAAATAATTAATTATGGGACATCTTAGGTTACTATAGAACTGGGACTAGTGTTCCTGTGTGTGTTCCCATATGAGTTAGGTTCCTTTAATTCTTGGTAGTGGTATGGAGACAATTAGATCAGGGGCTTGTGAGAATGTTATTTTGTTATTTGGTTAATATCATACTTATCTAAAGTTTTGTTACAATTAATAATGTCAAAAGAAGAATGGCTTGTGGTTTATTTTGTAAATGCCATCAAAGAAACATAAAAGTTTAAGATTTTACATGTACTGTTAAAAATTGATTATTTAATATATTTATGTATGTACTGGAGCCTGTTATTAATTCCTTAGTGAAATCTCATCCTCCTGGTGAGGAAATTAATAATGGATTAATGTAAAGTATAAGACACTGGGTTCTGATGTGAATTTCTTAAACATGACAATTGGCCATGGTTCCAATTTTGAGTTTGTAAAAATGATCAGGGTTATAAGGATTAGAAATGGTAATTTAAAATTGTGCTAAGGTCACTTTTGTAGGAGAATGGACAGAAAGCTGGTTCCTACAAGAAGACAAGAAGAAGATGCTGAGATGCTGTGCTGGAGATGGCTGGAACAAATACCAAGGACCAGAGGACTTCATTGACGATGTTCCCTGCCAGACAGCTGTATAGGAAAAGACTTTTTGAATATTAAAGGGACAATTGTATTGTTTTCTTTTGGGTCTCTGCATGTGCATTTATAAAGGGGACTGCCCCTTTGATTTGTCAATGCGTATATCAGTCCTTCCCATGTTTACTTAAAGGGGTGATGGTTAAGGGGAAGAATTCAGATGAGAAAGAGAGTAAGTAAGTGAAGGAGGCAGTGAGGAAGACAGGATATATAAGAAGTTTATCAACAATGGTGAGGGAATTTCAAGACAGGATAAAAAAAGGGGGGGGGTTGTGAGGGATGGCTCACAGTGAAGTTCCCTCATTAGTATCCCCCTGCTACACTCTTACCTCCCTGCTACACTCTATCTCTCTCCTATACTCTGCCTGAGTGTGAGAGATGGCCTGCAGTTTAGTTCCCAAAGGCCTAAGTTTCGTTCCTTCAGAAAGCCTTGAGTTAAGTTTCCATTTTCCTCCATGAGCTTCTATTTCTCCAGCACCAGGTCAGCATGGGTGGGGGAGCTTGGTGCCTGGTCGCTCCTGTGTCCTAGTAAACATATGCATCTAGTCTAAACATGAGCATGTTTATTTCTATTGGGTATTAGCTGCTGAGTTTAGAATGTACACCCTGAGTACCCAGTCAAAGGAGAAAGGGGTAATAGAGTGGGAGGGGGCATGGCATTAGGGGATAAAAAGCCAAGGGTGCAGGCTCCTAACTCATACTCTCCTGGCCAGCAATGGCGACTAGGGGCAGTACCCTTTCTCATGAGAAAGCAATAAATTCCTTTCTGCTTTCAAGGTAGCCAAGTCTTTGTTTTTATTTTGAGTGGGTGGTCTCTGTCCCACACAACATTGAACCATTTGACGATGCCAGAGACTTTGGTGAGAACTTTCTTTTGACTGGGGACTTTGGACAGGCAGCATTGTTGTTCCAAAGGCTCAGGGTCTGAGGGGAGGGGGATGGGGTCAAGGTCCCCTCCAAGGGCTTGCTTCCCTTCCCTTCGGGAGCACCCCCCCTGGTGGTTGGCCATGAGCTATCCCCAGGCTCGGGTTCAGGGTCCTAGCGGAGGTGGTGACGGTGGTGGGGATGGTTTGGTTTCCCACCGTGCTGCTGCTGAATTAAAGGGGGGAAGTGCTTTATCAATGGGAACCAGGGCTCTTTCCTGCTGGAAAGCTACTTCGCAGCCATAAGCAGCACTAGAAGGGCGCACTGCGCTTGTCCTTCCGTTATTACAAGCGCTGTGCCCAAACGACTGGGCTTCATCCGCTTCACAAGCCGAGAGCATGCTCAATAAATGCTTGTTTCCTTCCCTTTTCATTCTGTCGGGACGCTCCCGCCCTCTCCACCACACCCAAGATGGCGGCTGCGGTGTCCACGGCCGGCGGCCTCCAAGATGGCCGCTTGCGCAGCCAGCCCCGCCCCTTGCTTTCCGCTGCCGGAGGCCGGGGAGCGAGCTCGGGCTTGGATCCTTATGACGTGGCCACGCCTGAGTTCTGGCTGGTCGTGGTGGCGGCGCCTGCGCCTGCGCCTCGCCGCCGCCATGCGGCTCCTCCTGCGGTGGTCCCTATTGCTGGGGGCTCTGGGGCCTGTGACCCGCGCCCTGTTTGGTGAGTCCTGACGGAGGGCTGGGAGGGAGGTTGGCAGCTCGTGCCCGGGGTCCGTGCTCCCACGCCGTCTGGGCTCCGGGCAGGCGCCCGTGGGGCGGGAGGAAAGCCCACGGCCGATCCTGCTTGGGGCACTTCCGCAGACCTCAGTTTCTCCAAATGTCCCGTGAGGGCTCTGGGCGGGAGGGCTCTAGGGCCCTGGCCTGGCCTGACCGCCTGCGGGGGCGAGGGGAGGAGGGGCCGGTGCCCAGTGGGGATGGGCTTCTGAGGCACAGCCGGCGGCTCTGCGGGTTTCGGATGCAGCCTGACTCAGCTGACTTATGCAGGTGTAAAAGCTCCGAAGGGCTGACAGCGTTTGTTGCTGCTGCTGCTGCTGCTGCTGCAGGTGGAAAGGTTGGTTTCCGCAGCCGCTGTCGGGGCCGAACCGCATTTCAGAATAGGGTCAGGGAGTTTAGAGCTGGAAAGGAACTGCGATCATCCGGTCCTGAGGTTTATGGGGCTAGTCCAAGGTCGACTTGAAGTCCTTGACTTAGATCTTTACAGCCGATCTTAATTTCATATATACGGGCTTTCCCATCTGGACAGATTTTCCCCTCTCCACGCAGCGTAGTGTGCAGAGTACTGGATTTGGAATCTGAGGATCTGTGTTCGAGTGCCATGCAAGCCCTGTTACTGGGGAAAGAACACTGAGTGTGGAGCCAGACAACTTGAATTCAAACCCTACCTCCTGACTCTTTATCTGTCAAATAAAGGATTTGGATTAGGTGGCCTCTGAGATCCTTTCCAGCTCTAGGTCTGTGATCCTCTGATCCATTTAAAGGCCTCAGTTTCTCCATTTTTAAAAATGAAGTGCTGGGTGAGTTGGATAGGTAGCCCCTTAAGGCTCCTCCCACCTGTAAGTCTGATTCTTGTCCCTTGTGGTACTTGTTCACATTTTCCCATCATTTCTCCGTAGAGGCTCTACGTGCAAAAAGCCTCATCTGTGAAGCGCGTGATGAGGTTTGGAATGGATGATCTCTCTCTGGTTTCTTCTGGTTCTAAATTCTGTGGTCTGTGAATCTTCTGAAATACTACCTTAGTACTTGGGGACTCTCTGTTTTTTTTTTATCTGTCCCTGTGGCCAATAAGGCTTTCCAAACAAGGTTTCCGATGGGAAACCCTTCTTCCTACAGTAGAAATTCTCTCCACTGATGCAGATTGGTAAGTCGTTTTAGGGAAATGTTTGAGACTCTGAGAGATTAAGTGACTTGCTCATGGCCACGCAGGTATTACGGTACAGAGGCAGCACTTGATCCCAGGTGTTCCTGACTCCAGTGTTAGGTCTTTCTCCACCGTACCCCATGATGTCTCTGGGTGTAAAACGTTCAGCACTGCTAATAATCAGACTTTAACCAGGGCAGAATATACCCTCCCAGTGCCTTAGTAGCTTGGAATCTCACAGCAGGGTGCCACCTGAATACTAGACCTTGGATAACTAGAATTTATTTTCTACAAGTGCAAAAAATTTATGATTCTGAGCTGTGGAACTGTGCTTTTTTATGGTTAATGGTAATTCCAGTGAGAGTTTAGGTAAACTGAAAAAGCTCTCAGAGAAAATCTACAGTTCTAACCCCAGGAGGGGGGTGAGCAGGTTTAAGCCTATATCAGAATGGAATTTGAAATTTTATTTTTAACCATCAGAGTCCTGGGAAATAGTACTAGGGATGGGATGTTATGTGTAAAAGCTCTGAAATGTAAGCAGTTTTTTGTTGGTTTCCCTCTGCCACCCCAAATGAAGTTTTTTGGTGCTCCACTAATTAAAAGGAACTTTATGTGGGGATCAGCCTTGTTGAGTTCAGAGAAGCACATCACCACCAGGTTGACAAGACTGTTCAGCCACGGCAAATCAGGAAGTCTAGACAGTGTCCGAAAGCATAGACAGGTTTTATCTGTGTTGGTTGAGTTTCTACACTGATGAAATCTTGAATCCTTCATATATGAAAAAGGTAAGATTGTATTTAGGAAAAAACAAGTATTATAGTGGAAATTAAATAGTTACCCTAATTTTAAGACTGTTTTTGTAAACAGATAATACTAGGGAGGATATGTTTTCATTCTTTGTGATGTATAATTGAGTTTAAATAATCAATTTAAGCATAGTAAGTGGGAGGTTTAACTAGACAGGAGTTTTTGTGAAAGATTTTACTTGACTACAATTTTAAAATGAGCCAACTGTGTGGCATGGTAGCCAAAAAAGCTGATTCTGTCTTAGATTGCATCAAGAGAGGCATAGTGTACAGAAAGAAGGGGGCGATAAGTTTCTTTATGCTTTGACCCAGTCTGACCATATCTGGAATATTTTGTTCCTTTCCAAGTACCAGATTTTAGGAAGGACATTGACAAACTGCAGCTTGCCCGGAAGAGAGTGATCTGGATGGAGAGAGGAGTCCCTGTGAGGACTGACTGAAACAACTAGTGCTATTTAGCTAGAGAAAAGAAGACTTAAGGAGAACTTGTTAACTATATTTGAGCATTTGAAGGGCTATCCTCTAGTAGAGGACTAGAACCCAGAGGGTAGAACTAGAAAGAGTTGGAATTTGCAAAGAGGCCAATTGGATTTCTGTCTACATAGGCTGCTTTGGAGACTTGTTACTGAGTTACTGTTACTGAGACAGCTCAGTAGATAAGAGCATTGGGCCTGGAATCAGACCTGATTTCAAATTCTTCCTCAGATGCTTATTAGCTGTGTGACCCTGGGGCAGGTTGCTTAACCCTATTTATCTCAGTTTTCTCCTGTAAAATGAGTTGGAGAAGGAAATGGCAAATCACTGCAGTATCTTTGCCAAGAAAACCCCACATGGGGTCATGAAGAGTGGGACAGGACTGAAAAAATGACTGAACAGCAGTAACAACAACAGTAATTAAATAGCAGTACAACAGCAATAATGCTCACCATCATTTGATGTTTTGAAAATGGAAATGATTGTCAAGGGAGTTGTAAAGCAGTGCTGTCAAACTCAGAAAGAAATGGATGTGTGTGGGCTGCATATGGACCAAGAAAACCACAAATAAATATTATCTGTGTTGTACTGTCTTTTTGTGAACATTTCCCAATTACATTTTAATCCCTATCACCTTCAGTTTAACACCTCTGTGGTAGAGGATTTCTTAATCAGATGCTGGTTGAATTAGATGACCTTTGAGGTCCTTTCCAACCCTTCAACATTCTGCTATTTTGTATATTTTGTATTTGGCCCTGTGTTTCTGTGGGATGGAAAGGAAACATGACCTTTGCCATTGAGTTTTATGAGATAAAAGAATAATTAGAGAACGGAAGTCTTTTAGGTTAATGAAAGGAGGAGCAATTGACCTCTTCAGACCTTATTCCATATTTCTGCTGCCAGTCAGCAACTACTGATTTTTAGGATTTGTTGTCCGAAATTCTACTGATTAGAGATCTAGGTTCTGTCTTTTTTAAATGCAGCAATTTCTGGGAGGCTTCCAGTCAGACATAACATTAGTAGTTCTACTCTATAATTCTCTCCCCCCCCCCCCCCCCCCAGTACCTAGTAGATACCATTGAGCTGATAGATAGGCTGGTCACTTTTAGAGAAAAGTTGGGAATTCTTGAGTACTACTGTCTGGGAAGATGGGGCTCTGGGTAGCTTGAGGATAGCTACTAAGATATGGTAAAAAGGAAGGTGAGGCCTTGGAGAACTTCCCTCCATTGGGATCCTGTAAAGAGGTTGAAATTCATGTTCAAAACTATAGTTTCACATAGTTATTGTTCTGAAAGGCAGATGGTACAGTGGACCTAGGTTCACATCCTGTCTCTGATGTGCATCACTGTGTAATCTTGGATAAGTCACTTAATATCCCTTAGTTTCAGTTTCCTTATCTGAAAAAATGATGAGCAATAAATCCCTTCAAGTTCCAGTTCTGTGATTCTAGAGTGGAAGGAGCATTGGACTTAGTAGTCAAAGAGTTGGGTTCTTCTACGAGATGGATAACTCTTCTATAAAGGCGAGTCAACCTTTATGTGAAACGTCTGGGCTGAAGATACCTTAGAGATGACCTGGTCCAATGTGTCTTCATTTTATAGATGAGAATATTGAAGCCCAGAGGCTTGTCCAACTTGCCCAAGGTCACACAGCAAGTTAGTGTTAGAACTGCAGCACGTATCTCCCGTTTGTCCAGTGTTCTTTCTCCTGCACTCCACTAACTTTTCACTTTCCTCGGCTTTCAAGTGGAAATAATATTTATTGCTCTGCCTGCTTCACAGGTTTTTTGAGAGGATCAAGCAATACTGTATGTGAAAATGCTTTTGTGAAATGTAATGCTTTTATTTGTCTTCATTTCATCTATTAAAAATGTAATTAAAAGCTGATAATAAAGTATTAAGTAATAGTATTTTTTTTTTGGTGAGGCAATTAGGTTAAATGACTTTTCCAGGGTCACACAGCTAATAAGTGTCAAGTGTCTGAGGCCACATTTGAACTCAGGTCCTCCTGACTTCAGAGCTGGTGTTCTATTCGCTACACGACCTAGCTGCCCCAACGGTATTTTTTCTAATTGGATAATGGACAACTATGAAATATCCTCTAAGCGAGAAGCAGGAAATTCAAAATGACATACACATTTTAATTTTTTTTCTGCTACCTTGAAGAGGTCAATAGTTGTTATGATAACTTAATGGAGGCAGTAACTCTTTTCTTATTTAATATAGTTTAATTTTCTATGAAAGGTATATTGAAGAATGTATGAAAAATAAGAGTAATAGTAATAATTAACATATAGTGTTTTATGTTTTGCAGAATGCTTTACACATACTATCTCATTTGATCCTTAAAATAACCCTTTGAGGTAGGTGCTGTTGTTACCTCCATCGTATAGATGAGGAAACAAAGTGAGATGGGTTAAAGGACTTGCTCAGGGTTCTACACCTAGGAAGTGTCTGAGTCAGAATTTGAATGCAGGTCTCTATGACTCCAACTCTAGCACTCTCATCTACTATGCAAAATATGAACATATATGGAACTCATTTATTTTGAATTACATTTTCATTACAGATATACTTTCTTTTGTTGTTGTTGCAGAGGAAAGTGAAGGCTCATTGTCTGAACAGCAGGGACATGCTGAAACTGAAGTACCTCTCAATCCAGATGCTGTCCATTTAAGTAATGAAGAACACGAACTTGGGCAGACAGAACAGTACAACACTGACGAAATAGCTTATGTAGCCCTGGGAAATGAAGTGAATGGTGATCGTTTAATGTCTGTGATTCCAGGAGAGGCAAAAGACAGGCACATTTCAGACCGTGATACTGGCAGTTGGATGCTGGAGTTGAAGGCTCTAAATGCAATATCCGAGAGAGCCTTTTTTCTCTAATTACCTCTGAAGCAAATATTCCTGATAAGGGAGAAGAATATAATGTGGTTCTTGAAGCTGTGCCCACAAGTCCACCACCTAAAGAGGACTCTAATAGTACAGAGAATATAAAAACCCCAAAGGTGAATTGTGAGGAGAGAAATGTTACTGGCTTAGAAAATTTCACTTTGCAAATTCTAAATGTTTCACAGGTAAGTAGAATATCATTCTGACATTTGTTTTGCGCCCCCCCCCCCTTTTACTTGACTCGTACTCATGAAGAATATACTTTATTCTTTACTTCTAAGTGTGTAGTGAGTATTTGGTAAATGCACCTGTGTACATCTAAAGAAGGAAGGGTTGAAACTTCTTGAATTTGAAGCATCTTAATTAAATCTGAATTATGATGGTGGGTGACAGGTAAATGAAGAGAACACACACACACGCACACACACACACACACAAAAATCCCCTATTCTCTGAATCTAGTCACTTTAAGGCAAAACGAGGTGAGATAGTGTTATATCAGGGGTAGAGGAGAAGTCTAAGACTTTTATTTTAAAAAAGAGGAAACTGAGGCCTAAAGAGTGACTTGTCTAAGATGACACAGTTAGTAAATGGCAAAGCTAGGATTTGCCTCAATATCCTTGGACATATCTCTTTCACTGTGTCATAATCCATCTGTCCAAAATTACAGACAGGTTGTCAGGGTCAGAATTATAATGGGAATAAGTATACTGTTCTCTTCCAAGCTGACTATTACTCAGAATTTTTTGAAATATTCAGTATTACAAAAAAGCCATAATTACAGCCCCTTCACATTGTTAGTAAATAACTTTCATGAATTGCTGTGTTGAAATGTTAATTATCTGATAGGCTCATCACTGACTTTCTGAATCAACTGTACAGATATATAGTACATCATTGATCCAGTATTTGAAACATTTTTAGCTTGGTGCAGGATCTGCACAGAGAGATTCACCTCCATATCACAGCAAGGTATGAGAAAATATCTTTAGTGAAGGCCTGAATTCTTTACATTTTTGCAAGGCATTGTTCTGTGCAACTTTTTCCCTGGGGGAATAACATCATCATAATTATGCAAAACTACAAGGACTTTTTAACTTTTCACAGAGTATCAGAAACAATATTTAGTTCATAGTGGTGGATAAGATTATCTAAGATAATTGTTGAGAACATATTTAAGTTATTAGTGAGGCTAGATATGTGAAAGGTTAAATTTCTGTAGAAAACATAAGCTGGTAGTTTATATTATAATTTTGTTATTTTGATGCTCTCAAAAAAGTTAAGAGCTGCATATATTGAAGTAAACTCAAATTCTGAAGGCTGTTTTCTGCTGATGTAAAGGAGAATGAACGCATGGCTTCCTTTTTTCCCATTCTGAGAGTCAGTAGTGATATACTCTACCTGCTTTGTGACAAGGAGAAATTCAATTTTATTTGCTGACTCTCATGCTTGTGGCCAAGAGAGGATAGTGCAAAGTGGATACTGATGGGGGTATGAGAATTTCATTGTGTCTTATCTGAATGATTACAGGGTTCCTGGACTGGACTAAATGTGCATCAAAAGAATCATTAGTAAGATGATCAGCATCTCCATCCACGACAGTTCAGATCAGCTGCTAAGACAGTATCTTGATTCTGAGAATTGATGAGGTGAACATTAATTATGGTGGTTAGGATGATGTAATCTGAAAGTAGGTGCATATATGGCCATGTCATCTGGAAATAGGTATTGTTGGGTTTATGCAGAATTCCAGAATAACTGCATTGGTAAAGGAGAGTGGCAAGAAGGCTTAAAAGGAAGGTGTTTTTATCATTTGCCCTCTACAACAGATCCTTCTTACCAAATCCTTAATGCATATGTTTTCTCTTGTCACAGGACCTGATGGAATTTCTAAACCCAAACAGTAGTGATTGTACCTTAGTCTTATTTTACACCCCTTGGTGTCGCTTTTCTGCCAGTCTGGCTCCGCATTTTAATTCTTTACCACGAGCATTTCCATCTCTTCATTTTTTGGCATTGGATGCTTCTCAGCACAGCAGGTACCATTTTATCAAGTGCTTTTTATAGTTGATGAATTAAGTTAATAGTGGGGGCAGCTAGGTGGTGCAGTGGATAGAGCACTGGCCCTGGAGCTCCATCAGGAGGACCTGAGTTAAAATCTGGCCTCAGACACATAACACTCACTAGCTGTGTGACCCTGGGCAAGTCACTTAACCCCATTGCCTAGCCAAAAAAAAAAAAAGAAAAGAAAAGAAAAAAAAAGTTAATTGTGAAAGACTGTCTTAGTGACAGAGAACTGGCTTTGGAGTTAGGAAGGCCTGGGCTTAAGTCCTGCCTTCAATACAGACTTGCTCTGTGACTCTGAGCAAACATTTTCACCTCTCAGTGCCTCAGCAACTTCCAGATTGTCCAACAGTAGTAGAGGGAGTTACAAATAAGAGATCTCACACTTCACTCTTGCACTCCTCCTTCCCCCCCCCAAATTTGGTTATAATGATTACATACAGGATATTAACTGGTTAAGGATAGAGAAAGAAGAAATGGGTATAAGTTCCAGTATAAAAAAATCAGTTTATATTTTTTGGTTTGGGCTTGTGAATTTGGTGTAAGGAAACTTTAGGGCGTTAGTTGCCTGGAGCATTGTGAAATTAAAATATTTTCCTAGGGTTCCAGTATTGTCAGAGGTGGGATTTGAACTTAGGTCAAATTGACTTTGAGTTAGGCTGTTCCTCATCTTAATATTGAAGGTTGTTAAATATTGAAATGGTTTATTAAGAGAGATTAATCTTTTTCTGAGGCCTTTTAAAGCTGTAATTTCTCATTATGTTATCCTCCTAAGTTCCTTCAGGGCCTCGATTTAAGAAGTAATTAGAAATGTGTCATCTCTTATAGTTGAAAATTAAACTAAAAAATTTTTTAATATTTGGATACTATAGGTAGAGAGATATCTAAGAAATATGTGTTTGCTCAGTAGATTTTTACATAGATTATCTTTAAATCTGCTCTTTTTTTCCCCAATGGCATTTCAGCCTTATTTTATATTATTTTAATTTTTTGAAGAATAAAATATTTGAACTGCTCTTAATATTCAGTGAATTTTTGACTTAATAAAAATACATAATAACCTTGTTCAAAATTTAATGCCTTTTCCCCTAAATTAATGATTTTTTTTTAAACAGCTGTTATTTCATTAGTATAGGGAACTTCCTGATGAGGAAATTTCTTCTACCAAAGAAATCAGCACCTGTTCTGTAACTCATTGCCTTCAGACCCTAAGTTAATGACTTATCTAGCTAGGCTTTCATAGCCAGGAGATAGCAGAGACAAGCCTTAAATCCAGGTCTTCCTGACTTACAGGCTGGCTTTCCATCCACTATAGTATATTGTCTTTCACAGGGATGATAACTCACATTTATATAGCTCTTTAAGTTTTGCAAAGTGCTTTGAAATCCAAGTCTTTAAGGTTTGTGATGATAAAGCGAAAGTACAGTACAATGTTACCAATTTGTACTGTCTTAGTTCTGAATGTGTTGTTATTCAGCTTGGGCTGATTATCTTACATTATGAAGAAAGAGATTTTTAAATTATAGAATAAACAAAAGTGCAGTTTGAATATTTGACTTTAAAAGATGAAACTTTTTGAAAATCTGTTTGCATTAGTTGTTTATATATACAAACAAATCTTTAACAGCATATTTAACAAACATTAAATGCTTACTGTTTATAGGTTCACTGTTCTAGGATTGGGGAATATAAAATTTAGATGAGACATATTTCTTGCCTTTGTGGATTTCTTTTTCTAACAGGTGGAGAAGAAAAATAGAGGTAACTATAATGCAAAGCAATACGAGAGAAATTGATGAAAGAGATAGAAAACAAAATGCTTAGTGATGGGGATCAGGGAATATGTCAGAAAATTTGATTCTGAGACTTAGAGATGATAGATTTAAGAATTGGAAGGGACTTAATTGATATCTAGCTCAGAGGTGTCAAATTCTGCAGGGCCAGCAGAACTCCCAAGTGAGGCCTGAATTAGATTAAAATATAATTAGGAAATGTTTAACAAAAAATAGAACTACAGTAAAACATAGATAATGTTAATTTGGGGTGTCCTGAATATATGGCCTGCAGAAATGTGTTTCTAATTGAATTTGACACCACTGGTCTAGTCTAATCTCCCCATTTTACAGATGAGGAAAATGAAAACATGGAGAAGTTAAGTGATTTGCCCAGGGTCATAATGTAGGCAATAAGGCACCTAACCTTTCAGTACCCACTATGTCTTAAGACTTGCACAAAGTTTTAGAGAGGTTGTTGATTGGTACATTGGTAAAGAAATAATCTGCAGTGATAAAGTTCCTCATTGGGAGCTCCCTAAAAGAATATAAAATCTAGGACCTGTACTTGGTAATACTTTTGTTTGTAGTTATTTCATGTTACAGTCTGACTAGAAAGTGGAAATAGTAAATTTATTTGAAAATATTCCACAAATAAGATTTTTCACTAATTTATACTAGCTTTCTTGATAATTGGCCTGATTTTTAGTGAGCAAATACCAGGTTGTTGTAAAGGTGAATTGTAATTAACTATTTAATTGCCAATTCTGCAAAAATTGTGAATTAACTGGTTTGTTTCAGATTCAGTAACTTCACACCTCTTGTTGACTCTTGACTAACTGCCAAACTAATTATTTGACATAACCTGGCATTATGGCACTTGAGAAAATTACACATCTAAGCTCTAAGACATTGCTGCATGAAGAGTTTGGAGTTCCACACGGTTTAGTACATTGCTAATTGCTTGTAGTTATTGAATTCTTAAATAACAAAAGTTTTCTACAAGGGTTGATCCTTGTAAGTGAAGGCGTCAGCAGTTAAGATGGTACAACGGTGGGTTTGGTGATGAGTATATGTGGGCATGTATACGATACTTATTGTGATAGCTGATGCCTTAAAGAGCGTATACATTTATAAATTGAATGGAATAAATTTCTTTTGATCAGAGGAAACTAATTCTTCTTTTTTTTGGGAGTGAAGGTGCGTCTAGACCTATGATTTCATTTTTGTGGGGAATTCAAGGTGGGGAAGACCCCTCCACCAACAAAGATTAACAGTTAATTTCTAATTTGCTCATAGTCAAGTTAACAAGCATATATTATGTGACTACTGTGTTCCAGTTACCATGTTAAAGCTAGGTATACAGAGAAAGGAAAAAAGTTTCTGCCCTCAAGGAGCTCACCGTCTAATTGTCACACAACTAATATGTGTCAGAGACAGGACTTGAACCCAGGTCTTCCTTATGCCAAGAGTGACCCTCTACTACTCCAGAGGTGTCAGACATGTGACCCATGGACTACATATGGCCCACAACACTCCTGAGTGTGGCCTCAGTTTAAAATGTAATTGGGAAATACTTACAAAAAAGTGGAAATGAAGTAAAACACAGATTATGTTAATATGTGGTTTTCTGAGTCCGTATGAACCTGTAGAGATGCTTCTGTAGGCTTTAGTAGCTCTGTTTGAGTCTGATGCCGCTGCACTAAGCCTTTTCCCTTCCCTTTGTATTTCACTCAGATTCTTGAGACTGTATTCATAAAGCACGAACCTTGTTTATGTTTGTGACATGCTCCTGTTTTAAAATAGTTTGTCTACCAGATTTGGCACTGTGGCTGTTCCCAACATCTTGTTATTTCAAGGAGCTAAGCCAATGGCAAGATTTAATCATACAGATCGGACATTGGAAACTCTCAAAGCCTTCATTTTTAATCAAACAGGTATGTAAGAACAAGGATAAATATCTTTAATGGCTTTAATGGTTTCTTCCTCCTTTGCTCAACCATCTTTCCTTTTTTAAAAAAGTTTGTAGCTTTGTTGAATTATTTCTCTTAACATTTAGTTTTCAGATACCTTTAAAAATTAGAAAAATTTTTTCAGATCCCTTGTATTTTGGGTATCTCCTGTATCCTCATACAATCTGCTGGGGATATGGATCTATTAATATAGAGCCCCCACATCCTAGAGCAGTGTTCATTTACTAAACGTCAGTGCCTGTGCATAATCGTGATCATCATTTAAAGTGGGTGTCCCAAAAGTTTTAGTTCAGTTTTATGCTGAAGCTTAAAGATGGGGATGGAACCAAAGTGGTGGAATAGTAGGAAGCAGTACAGCTGAACTTTCCTCCATTAAACTCCTTCAAACAAATCTAAAAAATGTACTAGACTGCAGCATGCTGGGGAAATCGAGAAAAAGTCACAATGAATATAGCCTGGCTGGGCATAGGGAGTTAGAGAGGTTTATAGTCACTGGTATAGGTTGGATCAGGAGCACTCCAGCACCCAGGCTGTGCACCAGGGCAGGAGGAGGTCTTAGACCAGGCCTGCACGACATACTGTTTGCGGCCTGCCAAAGTGCCAGGGCTGATATGTTGTGCAGGCCTGCTTTATGCAAGTCCCTCAGCAATTTGACTATGCGAAGTTCCCTTATGGGAAGGTCTGTACACCATACTGCCCGAGGGCCACCTGCAGACCACCAAAGGATTTCGGGTGGCTCATGAAAAATGTAGAGATTGTCAGACAGCCCTGCGTGTTTTGCAGGCTCATCTGAGGCTCATCCTGTGGCACCGCCAATACCTGTACTGAGACATTGCATTGTGGATAGGTGCCAAATAGCTACTTTGTTGCCTGCTACCCAGTTCCAGGTCACAGATTCAGGGTGAATTGAGAAGGTAACCTGCACACAGGGATATTTTTTTGCCGTCGACTTCTATACTTATCTTTGTATTGAATTGACCAAATATTAAAGTATATGTTGATTCAGTTTGGGGAATTTTATTGAGGTATTTATTGAATTACTCTACCTTTTCATGCTGTACACCAGGGACTGTTTTGTTTTTTGTCTTTTATTCTTATTGCCAAGTACAGTTCCTGGTATGGAGTGAACACTTTAAAAATTGCTTATCAAAGGAGTTATCTTAATGGTGGCCTTTTAGGTTGGAAACCTGATTTTAAATTGTTTCTTTTATTTTTATTCATGCCTTTTGATATTACATCACAGTAATTTCCATTATATCCTCTCCCTGCTCCAAACATACCCTTGTAATAAAGATTAAAAAAAGAAAGAGAAAAAAATAGTTCAGCAAAACTGACCAACATCTTTACCCTTTGGGACAGTATATCTGGTATTCTGTCACAGTTATGGTTCTCTGCCTCTGCAGTGAAGAGAGGGAGGTGTAATTTTTTGCCCCTCCTCCCCCACATTTTATCTTTATTTTATTTTGAACCTAACAAGCACCAAATAAAATGAATATTTTCATATATGTTGTGGAATGGAGGAAGATTGTACTTGAAACTGCAGATCTCTTTTATGTAGAGTTTGCTTTTCTTTTAAATTGTAAAATAGCATGTAACTTTCAAAGCTGTACTAGATGCCTGTGATTCCTTCTGGTCTTATTTTTTTGGAGGAAGGAAGATCCTATTCCTTCCTTTCCCATCCCCATTTAAAGGAAAAAAAAAACCCCTTGTAACAAATATGCATAGTTGAGCAAGATGAATTCCCACATTGTCCATCTCCAAAAATGTATGTCTCATTCTGGATTTTAAATCCATCACTTGTTAGGAGGTGGGTAGCAGAGATAACATCAGTTTTCTGGAATCATGGTTGGTCATTGCACTGATCACAGTTCTCAAGCCTTTCAGAGGTGTTTGTGTTTACATTGTTATGTAAATAAATTATTTTCCTGGTTCTGCTCACTTCAGTTGTATTAGTTTCATATAGGTCTTCCTAGGTTTCTCCGAAACTCTTTAGTAATTTCTTAAGGCATAATAATAATCCATTATATTCATATACCGCAATTTGTTCAGTTATTCCTGAGCTGATGGGCACCCTCTTGGTTTCCAGTTTCTTGCCACTACAAAAAGAACTGCTTTAAATATTTTTTTACGCTAAGGTCCTTTTCCTCTTTCTTTGATCTTTTTGAGGGGATAGGCCTAAGTAGTGGTATTGCTGTATGCAGGTTAGTGACTTTTGAGGCATAGCTGCAGATTGCTTTCCAGAATGGCTAGACCCAAATCACAGCTCTACCAACAGTGTTCATTAATATGCTTTGTTTCCTTTTCACATCTGTTATCTTTGTCAATCTGATGGGTGAGGTGGAACCTTAGAGTTGCTTTAATTTGCATTTCTCTATGATTTGCATCATCTTTTCATATATTTGTTGATAGTTTGGGTTTCTTCCTTTGAAAACTTCCTGTTCACATCCTTTGACCACTTATTTGTTGGGGAATAGCTTGTGTGGAAACATGATAATAAGGGTGAGGAGGAAATGGTCAGCAGCAAGTGAGAGAATCACGACATAAGGAACAGTGTCACCTGGAGAATATTGTCAGGGTTCTGTGGTGGCCAGAAGGTGGAAAATGGACTGATCCAGGATGGAGGGAAGTTGGCTGATAGGATCATAGCTTTAGAGTGAAAAAGAGCCTTAAATCTTTCATGACTGGTAGATGAAGATTTAAAATTTTCATTGAAAAAAATAAAACTTTTTATCATGTCACAATGTCATAAACCTCCTAATAAGCTTCAGTATGATTATGTTTGACATTTTATCATATGCTTTATATGTATTATACCAGGTCCTCATTTTTATACCTGACCTTCAAAGATTTGGCATACAAATTTCAACAATTTTATCCTTAGGAAAAGTGTCTTGATTCCCTGCCCCCTGCCAAATGAACATTTTAATTCCTCAATTCCCCCCAAAACCCCTAATTCCTAAAAAATGTTTTTATTCAATTATTAAATATTTCTTTCTGTTCTCCTTTCCCCTGTCTCTCCTTCCCCTAAGGGGTGAAAGAAGGAAAACAAAACCCTCGTAATAAATAAGCACAGTCAAGCAAAACAGATTCCCAAATTGACCACATCCAAAAATGTACATGTCTTTCTGCACATTAGTCTAACACCTCTCTGGATTTTTTCCATCATTGATCCTCTGGAATTATGGTTGATTGTTGCATTGATTTCCCTCGATCCTTTTTGAAAAGAATACATATATTAAATTCTTGGAATTTTGTATGTCTAACTGAAGAATAAAGATCTGAGTTTTGCCTTTTTGGAATTAAAATGTTTATTTGTAGGTTTTTTCAATATTATGCATACTAATGCTAGAGCCTGACTTTTGGGCTTAAATGGGAAAAGGAAAACCCATACATGTTCAAAAGTTTGAAAACACTTAGAACACAAATGTGAGATTAGATAATCCTTTGGGGCAGGCAAGCTAGTGTAGCTGAAGCAGCCAGCTTCCCTGAGAAGACAGTATGTGCCAGCACATCAGCCTCTGGCTACTGTCTCTGCTACCACCTTTCTTCGGACTCCAGTGGAGATAGTCCAAGACCCAAGAACTTTGGAACACTATTCTTGCTTTCAGTCCAGCTCTGATAGCAGTCACTGAGGGGACCAGTCTTTGTGAAGAAGGGGCCCATTTTACTTGCCACCACCAGTACCAACTTCTGACCATTTGCCTAAGAGGCCAGGAATGGCAGCACCTCCAAGACCACTAGTCCTGATTTTCTAGCCCAGCCCCCAAAGCCAGGGAAGCAACCTCAGTAAAGGTATGTCTTGATGAATGCTTTTCTGTGTGTTGCAGCCCCTTCTTCAGCAGCTACAGCTATTGAGGACTTGAAAAGAAGTTTTTTCAAAGTCCTTGGCACTGTCACATGGTTCAGTATTAGAAACATTATCAGTAGAAATGACATTAATGAACATGCATTGCCATCTGCCTTTGCAACTACAAAGAATCTTTCTGACTTGTAGCTGAACTCTATATGTGTTGTTTCTTCCATTAGAATATGAGTTCCTTGTGAGCAGGTACTCTCTTGCTTTTCTCTTTATATCCCCAGCACATTGTTTTGCACATAGTTAATGTTTAATAAATGTTTTTTCATTGATTCATTCATGGGTACTTTAGAGGTCAGATAATTAGACCTTATCCCAATACAGAAATCTTTCCTCCACAATATCCCTGATATTCTTAGCTATGCTTAGAAGTACAGAGGAAAAGTCTGTAGATTCTATGGAAATTTTACTTTCTACTAGCATTGTGATATTGCTGAAATGCAATATAAGCAAATTCTCCTGGCCAATTTGCTTTTTAAAATAGTCTTGTATATTTGCTGAGAAGGGAAAAAAATTGTATTTTTAACTGTGAGAAGTTGAATAGATTTATGCATTGATTTATTCATTAATTATGTGGTAGAGAGAAAGGCTAAGTTACTGTAATGGAAGTTTTAAGAACCACAGAAACAGGAAAGGGAATTTGGTGTGAATTCTGTCTTTTTTTTTAAAGCTAGCCTTCCTTTTTGTGTATTCTATTGAATCTTTGGTAAAATTCATTTGTGGGCATTTTTTTTCATCTGTCAAATACTGACTCATTGATTTTGTTTCCAGGGATAGAAGCCAAGAATGATGTGGTAGTGACTGAAGATGACCAAATAGGCCCTCTTCCCAGCACTTTGGTGAAAAGTGTGGATTGGTTGCTTGTATTTTCCTTATTCTTTTTAGTTAGTTTTATTATGTATGCTACTGTTCGGACTGAAAGTATTCGATGGCTAATTCCAGGACAAGAACATGAGCATCCAGAGTAATAGCAGACTGAAAGATGAAATTAGAAAGATTAATTTAAATCTTTGCTTTCAGAAACTTGTGCTGAAATTCCATTGTTTTCTACATATTATATTTTAACTTAGGTTAAAATAATTTTGCATTTGAGCTGAGTGTGCAAAAAATAAAAAAGGACCACACACTAGTGTTGTATACTAGTGTTTCAATAAACATGAAAAGATTCAGAAAAATTAGTTGTTTTTTTTAGTGCTTGGACTTAAAATTTCAAGGAACTTGGCTTTAAATGTGAAAAACTTGTGTATACAGAGGCAAATGAGCACAGTAATGTAGTGTTTGACAAACCTAAAGATCCCAACTACTGGGGCAAGAACTTATTATTTGACAAAAAATGTTAGGAAAAGTGGAAAACAGTTTCACAGAAACTAAGCATAGAGTAGACCAACATTTCACACTGTATATACCAAAACAAGCTCAAAATGATATATGATTTAGATAGATGCTATCATAAGCAAAATAGTGGCGTATGGAAGAAATTACCTGTTGAATCTGTGGATAGGGGAAGCATTCATGACCAAAGAAGAGAGGTTCAAGAGGTTCATAGGAAGTAAAATGACTAGTTTTGATTATATAAAACTAAATAGATTTTGCACAAACAAAACTAGTGTAACCAAAATTAGAAGAAAAGCAGGAAACTCGGGAAAAATATTTGTATCAAGTTTCTTTGGTAAAGATCTCATTTCTAGAATATCTAGGGAACTGAGCCAAATTTTATGAATAAGAGCCATTCCCTAGTTGATAAATTATCAAAGGATATGAATAGGCAGTTTTCAGAGGGAAGAAATCCAAGCTATCAATAGCCATATGAAAAATGCTTTAACTCACTAATAGAGAAATGCAAATTAAAACAATTGTGAGGTTACTACCTCACATCCATCAAATTGGCTAAGATGACAGGAAAGGAGATACAGTAATAGTGTTGGTGGAGCTGTGAACTAGTCCAACTATTCCGGAATGCAATTTGAAACTATTCCCCAAAAGGTCTTAAATCTCAAATAGATCATAGAAAGAGCAAAAGGACCCTATGTACAAATATATTTATAGTTGCTCCCTTCGTGGTGACAAAGAATTGGAAATTCAGGGGATGCCCATCATTTGGAAGATAGCTGAACAAATGTGATGCACTATTGTGCTGTAAAAAATAAAGGGAATGATTTCAGAAAACCCTGAGAGTATTTGTTTAAACTGGTGCAAAGTCAAGTGAGAAGAGGCAGGAGAACAATTTATACAATAACAGAAATATTGTAAAAATGATCAACTTTGAAAGACTTGGTAACTGATCAACACAGTGATCAACAATTCTAGAGGACTAACGATGAAATATGCTGTCTGCCTCCAGTTAGAGAAGTGGGCTCAGAGTACAGATTGAAGCAATTTTTTTTTGTTTGGACATGGCTAATGTGGAAATTTGTTTTGCATGACAATACGTATTTGTAATGCATTATATTTTTCTTCCTTTTTCAATGGGTAGTGGAGGGGAAGGAAGGAAAAATTGAATAAAAAAGCTTTTGAAATGATGATCTAATTAAAAAATTTCCTGACAGTATCTTTCAGAAGCAAAAATTCTGTGGCATGGTTTTAGAAAATTTATAATTCCAAGAACTTAGGTTTTCTGTCCGTTGAATTTCTCTTTCAAAACAATTTCAAAGTTCACAACTGAACAGCTGTTCTTTTATGGTAAAATTTTCCAGAAATGAAAACGTATTTGTAACTTCCCGAGTAGCAGCGTGTTGTTTCATGTCTTTCCTTCTGGAACAATAAAGAGTTAAAATAATTAGGTCCTGATTGTGTGCTTTTCCTTTGTGATCATTACTCAACATCAATTCTTAGTATTTATTTGCAAACAAAACAAAAGTCATGAGATTTTCTCTGGGTAAGGCAGAAGAGTAAACAGATCTGATTTTTATGGCGAGATCATGTTTTTATTACTTGTTTCCCAACATGATAAAGTAAATTACATTGACAGAATTCATTCTTTATGCTAATACCAATGCTAGTAGTTTTTAGTTTCATGATTTAGCTTTGATACATGGGATCCATGAGTTCATAGGAGTGTACTCTGTCCAACAATATGAGTTTTATTTTTTCTGCTGCTTCTTACCCTGTGTGACTGTTGTCCTTGCTTCTTCATAAAAACCCTTCAGAGGAGAAATGCCTAATATTCTGAGGTCTTGTTTTGTTCTTTTGTTATCTTTGAGGTTATCAAATATTCAGGTCACCCTCGAGGTGACCAAATCAACTTTATTTTTCGACATACATAATTTAGCAACTTAATGAATTTTGTTGAAAATGAATAATGTAAAGATGATGAGCCAATAACTTAGGATCATAGATTTAGAACTGGAGGGGACTTTAGGGGCTATGTAGTCATACCTCCTCATTTTACAAATGAGCAAACTGAGCACAAGAGAGGTTCACTAACTTGCCCAAGGTCACAAAGCGTTAAGTGATAGAACTAGGATTTGAACCCAGATCCTTTGACCAGATTCAGCATACTTTCTACTGCCTTCCATGTTGTCTCTTTTAATTCATATCTAACCCTAACCCTAACCGTTGCATATCTTATTTATGTCACTTATAACTAACCAAAGTTTGCAAAGCAAGAGATCAAAAAATATTAAGCTAGGGTTAGAAAAAAAGGCAAAAACAGTCCCAGCCGTCAAGGACTCATGTTATGTTAGGGGAGACAGTATGTAAGTAACTAGATACATACAAGTTTATATACAAGTAGATGGGAGGCAACCTCAGGGAGGAAAGCATGATGGTAATTGGCAATTCCCCAGGTTTTGTTTTTTTTTTTGCCACAACCATCTAGTATGACTAAAGCTATTTAAGTCTTTGAGGTATAATAAATACTCAAGGTCAGCAACACCCGATCATAGCCTATATAAAATAATTTCCTATGGTTTTCTTTTGAGTGCATGGTAAAAGCAGTGATTTGAAATAATTCTGGAGTATGTCAGTGTGAAAAATCTTAATTGCAGGATATTTTGAGAGAAACATCTTTATTTCCTTCAAGTATACATAGAAAATGTCATGAACTTCTAACCCTTTCATATTAGATGGTCTACCTCATTCATCACCTAAATATTTATTGTGTGTTTACTCTATTAGTACAAATAGCTTGGCCAGGCATTGCAGATGGACGGTGAACTAGGCCCAGAAATAAGTAGTAGGGAAGATGACATTGGGGAAACTGCATAAAGCTTCTAGTGACTACAAGCTGCTCCTTGACATACATACCCATCTTTTGAACACCAATATTCTGGTTATATGGCTTTAAATCATGGAACACCACAATTCCTGTCAAAATGAGTGAACCAAAGGAAAATGGAGAGATGTAATAAGTTTAAGTAGGAATGATGGCTCATGTAAGAAGTGGTGTAATAGAAAAGAAAAAGTGAAACAATACAAAATAGAAATCTACAAAATAGTGTAGATTTGTATAACTAGAAAAGGAAATAGGCTGGCCATGTAGTAAGACAAGTGATAACAAATGGATGGCCAATACTGCCCTAGTGTCCATGAGATATTAAAAGAACCAGTGGAAAAGTGTCCGGGGTTTGTGGGCAGTAATTACAAGTGTTGGAGAGGTGATCAGCATCCTCCTGTTCACTGCCCAACACTCGGCATCAAATGTTTTCTTAACCTCAGTTGCATTTGGAGGTGAAAATAAAACAATGCACAACTCATTCCAGTGGGATATATTGAAGGATTTTAATTATAGCTTGTTAGATATCTTATGAAAAGCAAGTGAAGAGAGTCTAAATGCAAACTGGCTATGTGGCAGGCACTCTTAGGTGCTGGGGATACCAAAAAAGGGGCAAAAACCAGGCCCTGCTCTCAAGGGATTCACAGTCTTAATAGGGGAGACAACATGCAAACAACTACGTATAAACAAGATACATAAAGGATAAATTGAGATAGTGCCAGAGGGAAGGCATTACGGTTAAGGAGAACTAGGAAATGTTTCTTACAGAAGGTGGGACTTTCGCTAAGACTTAAAGTATGCTAGGAGGCAGAGATGAGAGAAAAGTTCCAGGCACGAGAAGCAGCCAGTGAAAATGCATGGAGTTGGGTGCAGCCAAGATGGCAGAGCAGTAGGAAGAAATGATGCACTCTCATCCCCCACCAAACTCCAAACAAATCTAGAAAACAGATTATATTGTATACTAATGGGGAAATCTAAGAAAGTCACTGAGTCATTTTCCCACACCAGGTTGACACAGGGAGGCAGAAAGGTTGGTTTGTGAACAATGGGGGACAGGACTTGGCCAGGAGTGCATCATGCAGAACATTCCAGGTGCAGAAAGGAGGCTATGCATCCTGGCAAGAAGGGCTTCAGATTCACCACAGAGGGGCTAAACTCTATGTACAATACAGGAACAGGATGTCAAACCCAATGCAAAGTCACAGATCAGGATTGATGGAGCGGATTTTTGTCTAGGGATGGCTTTCCTGGATGAGGAAAAGCATACCCTGTGTACTAAGAAAAAACAAGTTTAGAAGCAAGTAGTAGCTTTGTGGTTTGGACCCCAAGTGGAATCTCAGTTTTAGTTTCTAGCCCAGCCTTAAAGCCTGTAGTAGAATAACCAGGGCAGGAATCCCAGACCACCTGTAATTCTAAACCATTAGAGCTTTCCAGATGACTGATAGGGACTCAGTCTAGCAGCAGTTTACTGTTGATCGGATCCAAACCTAGGTCAGAACTTGCAGACGAAGGGGGCAGTGATCAGATTTTGCCTTAGATCCCACCACTAAAAGCATTCAGGTCCCCAGCCTGAGCTGTCCCTGAGAGCTTGGAATAACACAATACTCAACACCTAGAAAGCATCGGCCTTCCCTCCAGAAGTACAGTAATAAAGTCCAAAGCCTGAAAGTAGGCTGGAAGAATGATCAAAGATTGCAAGCAACAAGAAAAAAAGTTTAAATACTACAGAAATACAGTCAGGATTTCAGAAGAACTGGCAGTAAAAAACTGTAGGTCTTGGAATGTATTTCAAAGACAATAAGAGCTGGGGTTGCAATAAGAGCAGAGTTGAGTATAATCCTGAATGGGGAAAAAAAAAGGACATTTGATGAACATATTTGTGATTAAAAAGACCAGAAGTCAATGGAAAAGTCAATATAAAAGATCCAGAAGAAATATAAGGAAAACATCAAAGACTAATTATAAGACACTCATTAAGGTCAAACTGTTTACTTCTCATATATGAAAATGTTATCAGTATTCGTAAAACTGTCATCATTACTAGAGTATTTTGAAAGAAAGTTTGGGGCCGATGATGGTATGGTTCTAAAAAACAAAACTGGATAAGAAAAGGTAATAAGGAGCAATTATTTCATACAAATGGGCATGAAAGGAAGAACTGATACAGAGGAAGGAGGTGGTGGTGGAGGGCTGGTAATGTTGAAACCTTTTATTGGATTTGGTTGAAGAGGAAATAACATGTATCTGGAGGATTGTAGAAGTCTTCTGGATTTGTAGAGAGGTGAGAGAACTAGAGGATATGGTGGGGGAGGGACTCTTAGAAGAGTGTATAGATTAGGAAAAATTTAAGCAATTATTTAAGTAAATGTCTACCTGAATATTTTGGGAACCATTTGATTAAAAAAAGAATGCAAAATATTTTATTTTGGCTTAATTCAGTTTTGTTGTTAGAATGATCCTGTTAAATAGAATTTTGAATTAAAACTAAGGAATTTAAACTGTCAGGCAGAATGTCTTTTCTAACGAGCAGAATTCTGCCAAATTTCATACCACATGAAAAAGTATATATTCTACATATACACAGAATAAATATAAAGAGAATAAATACAGGTATTCATAATATCATTATTTTTCTATCAGTATATGTGGTATATGATATAAGCATGTAATTCTATATAAGTATATATTTTATGTAAGCATGTCTATATATGTAAGTATATATAGTATACTATATATGTATAAATTTTATTAAAGTATATATAGAATAAATATAAAGAGAATAAATAATAAATATACCTAAAGGAGTTCATTGGACATTGAGTAACTCTCCATTACCCTTTTTGGCGAGACCCCTAGATAATATGAATGAGCCCAAGCCGAATCCTTAAGCAATTTTTCTAGGGCCCAGTGGGCTGGTGGGGGGGCACGTAAGAGAAGAGTGAGAAACGGAGCCTTGCATCTCACTCCGGGAGGGGCTGCCCGGGGACTGCGCAGGCGCGGCGGGAGGGCCTGGAGAGCGGCGCCTCGGGCCTGCAGCTCTTCTTTGGGGCCGGGATGGACGCTGTCACCGCCGTACTCCGCAGGCCTTGCTCCTGGAGAGCTGGTGCTTCCTCCGCTGTCAATAAAGTTATTTCCATGCATGGTCCCAGCCCCCGAAGGGTCCTTCTTTAGCTCTCCCGCCGCCAGGCCCGACGCCCGCCAGAGCTGGTGGGCCTGAGCAGCCCAGGCAGCCACGGCTCGGTGCGGGCGGACTCGGCCGCCGGGGCTCCGGGCGCGGGGCTGCCGGGCTGGGCGGAGCGCAGGGACCCGGGCTGCGGGCGCCGCGGCTCAGGCAGCGCAGTGGGCGCCTCGGGGCGGGGCTGCGACACACTGCACGGGCCCATGTCGGCGGCGGCGCTGGGACTCCGGGGCGGGATTCTCCCCGCGCTCCTTCGGTCGCCGCGGACCGCTCCTGGCGGCTGCCGGAACCTCTCAGCCATGGTGCGTGAGTGAGGCAGCGAGGGCGGGCGGGCGGCCCCCGGGCCCCGGGGGAGCTCGCGCGGGGCGCGGGCGCGGGCAGGCTGGGGCGTGCGGAGGGCCGGCCCGTCTGCCCAGGAATCTTCCAGGAGGGAAGTCCGGACCCCTTTCCTGCCGCGGGGCCCACGGGTCGGGCGCGGGGTTCCGCCCCCCTTGGCCGGGACTGACGTGGGACTGCGGCTCGGGTTCGGGGTTTGGGACCCCGGTGTGAATGCTGACCTCCCGCGCGTCATCATCTGTCTGAAATGGCAGGCCAGGCCAGAAATGAATTATCCAAGTCTACGGGGTACCCAAGAAACGGCACCTGCCCACCCCCACCTCCAAAACCAAACTTGAGGAGCTTTGTAAGGGACTCATTTTAGGCACGGGTGTGTCGGAGCTCTTGCTATGAGATTGTTTCCGAAACAAAAAATTTTTCATCAATTTTGCTTCCCTAGATAATATAACGTTACGAATTAGAAGTTCTATGTGAAGATCAGTACCATATAAAAGCAGTCACTTTCTAATGATCTTCGTATTTGACATTAATGATTATTCAATATGGTTCGGTTCTCGTGCATTTTTTTTAGCATCATTTGGGGGTTAATTAAGTGATATATTTATATACACATATGCTTACACATATACACACATTTATATGTATATGTATATCCATCCATCCATCCATCCATCCATCCATCCATCCATCCATCCATCTTTTAGTTTCTTGTCAATGTACTTTCAGTTATCTAAAGCTGTTTTAAAATTTTTCCTTTTACTCAAAACAATTGTTCCGCAAACTAGACTAACTTATACCACCACCTAGTGGTGAAAAATAACTTAGACGTCGCAGATCTTGTGCTGTTTCACAAACAATATTCGGCAAACTGTTTTTACACAGCTGACAGAAAGGTAGAGAATGCAATATACCATCGTGTTTGTTGATTATAAAAAAAAATTCCATCAGGTGGAATAAAACACCAACATGCTTCATACATGTTTGACATATTTCGTGTATGTTAAAATTATATAGGATTCCTTAAAACATGTTAAAACAGTGAGAACTTTGATGACTCTTTGATTTTTCATTTCATTTGAGGAGTAAAATAGGGACACAAATGCTTTCTACTGTCATAGAGGATGTCCTGTACAGACTACACATGGAGGAGGGATTCTCTAGAATTATTATTATTATTATCATTATTATCATTAGTTATTAGAGATGCTCCTGTTTTAAGATATTGTGCTAGTTATATCAAGCACCAAAATATTGCAGAATTTCATAAATGAGATCCGTAATGTCTCAAGAGAGTTTGGCCTAACTATCTCAGGAAAAAACAAGTGTGTGAAGAATTCCTTTTGTGTAGACTATGATATAAAGTTAAATAGATAGGCACTAGATAAATAATGAATCGGGCCCAGAATTGAAGAGGAGGAGAGTCCTTTTAAAAAAATAGATTTTTGTTGATATGTTGTTCTGCATTGCCTAGATGCCCTTCAGTGTCCTTATCCTTACTTCCTCAGTCAGTCAACAAATATTTATTAAGTGCCTACTGTGTGCCAGGTGCTGTGCTAAGTAGGCTCTGAAGATACTAAGAATTGCGAATGATAGTCCTTGTTCCCTAGTAACTCGTAGTCATTACACATATAGGGGAGAAAACATGCAAACAGATCAATACATTAAAAAAAATTGACATCATATGTAAGGTTTCTCACGTATTGATCACACTTCTACAAAGGAGTGGGGAGATTCTTTTCTTTGGGGATCAAACTTGTCTTTTTAATTTTGCAGTTCATTTTTGATTATTTTGTGGTTATTCTTTCCATTTTCATTATTGTAATCATTGTATGTATTATCTTCCTGGCTCTGCTTACTTCACTTTGCATCAATGTTCATGTAAGTCTTTTCATACTTCTCTATATTAATTGTTTCTTATAGGATAGTAATATTCCATTACATTTCATATACCAGTTTATTTAGCCATTCTACAATCAGTGGCATATCTACTTTGTTTCCACTTGTACAGTTGCTTTTAAAAAATTTAAAATACCTACATTTCATAATATAGTCCTCTCCCATCCCCCTCCTAGAGAACTCTCTCTCATAAAAAAATTAAAAAGAGGAAAAGAACCTAGTTCAGCAAAACTAAGGGACATCTCCACCAACTCTCACATTTTATGCAGTGTTGTGCACCAACAGCCCCCCACCTTGCATAACGCTTTAATGACTTTAAGCTTGGTTTTGAAACAGAGGCTCATTTTCTCTATCGGTGTTCTTCAGTGAAGGACAGGTACGTAGGGCAGTGGATAGAGCTCTGGGCCTGGAGACAGAAAGACTCATCCTCTTGAGTGCAAATCCTGCCTCAGACATTTACTAGCTATGTGACCCTGGGCAAGTCACTTAACCCTTTTTGCATCAGTTTTTTCATCTGCAAAATGAACTGGAGAAGGAAATAGCAAACCACTCCAGTATAAATGCCATGACTGAAATGACTAAACAATTAAAATTCTTCTGTGAATACTTTATGACAACTAGTTATGGAATGCCACAGTCTACAACTAACTTAAATTGTAAGCCATCTAAATTGTAATGAAGATGGGTATGGTAGGGGAGAAAAGGCTTCAATATGTCATTAACAAAGGTGATTTGTAAAGGATGTAATGGCAGAGATGTATAACCAGAAAAGGAGGTGGCTCAGTCATGTACCTACACTAAAGCCAAGGATAACTGGTGAACAGTTCTCATACTTTATTGATATTCATGCAACTATAAGAGTGGGTGGGCTCCTTCTAGAGAGTTTGCAGGTGGACATAAGAGTCAGCTAGGATGAAAAGACCTAGGTGGGCTGTGTTGTAAAAAGGAAAAGAACAGACCTATCACAATATATCACTTAAGGGTACTATTTAATTGAAACATCTCAAGAAGAACCTGTGTGTTGTTTTCTGTTTTAATTTTTTTTCTAGGTGACATTGTTAAAATATTTACAGGTATATTGTTTATCTTCTCTGATGTGTCATCAGGGCATGGAGGGGACACCGGAAACTCAAAGGCTATTCTAGTAGAGTACAAGCTCTAACATTTAAAAAAACTGAAGTTGGAAAAGCTCTGAGTGTGCTTTTATGGAATCACTTTGTTACTTTTTTCCAAGGACTAGGTTAGCTAAGCCCAGAGATGCCCGTACTTGGTGATTGGCCAGTGAGTAATGAATTCTTTTGGCCATAGCAAGTCGTTAAGATCATGTAGTAAATTTTTGCAGTATGCTTTAGTGGGAGGGGAACCCACTGCAGGAAATCTCAGATACTTCAAGTATTGTGCATGAATGATGAGCATGGAATAGGCCAACTTGTGCCGCATACCATTTGTTTGTAATGCTGTGGCTTGTTAGCTGTGATGAAAACAAAAGATCTGTGAATTCAGAACTTGATGTTATTACTACTTTCTTGTAAGAAGAAGTTAAGTAATTACTTAAATTCCTTTTCTGACAGTAAATCAGAGACAGGACTTGAGACTGCCTGATGGCTGGTCCTCTTCACTCTGCCATGACTGCCTCTGATGTTCTCTGTTTAAAAATAATTGCTAAACATTTGGAAAAGCGTCAGGTTTGTTACCGTACATATCACTGCTGCTGTGGTTGTGTTTGCGTGTGACCCTTTTATTTTTTGATGGGGAAGATCTGTCAGTCAGTCAGCAAGCATTTATTAAACGATTTTTGCAAGCCAGGGATTGAGCTGAGTTCTGGGGATTTAGTAAGGGCAAAAATGCAATCACTGCTTTCAGGGAACTCACATTCTAATGGGGGAGACAATACATGAACAATTATGTGCATATAACATACATATAGTGAAGATGGAAGGTAATCTCAGAGGGAAGGCATTAGCAGTGGACAGGACGGGGTGACTGGGAAAGAGACCTCTTGCAGAAAGTCAGGTTCAATCAGAATGTAAAAGGAAGTCAGAGAATCCAGGCATGAGAGCCGTAGTGAAATGGCATCGAGATGGGGGGTTGAGCGTAGTGTACAAGGAACATCCGTGTAACAGGATTGCAGATTGTGTGGAGGGTACTCAAGTGTAAGATAACTGGAAAGAGAGGAAGGGTCTAGGTTGTCAGGGACTTTCAAAGCTAAATAAAGGATTTTATATTTAATCCTTGTGGAAATAGGAAACCACTAGTATTTATTGAGTAAGGGAGTGACATGGTGAGACCTGTACTTTAGGAAGTTCACTTTGGCAGCTGAGTGGAGGGTGGATAGGAGCTGGGAGAGACTTGAGGCAGGGAAACCAACCAGAAAGCTTATTGTAGTAGTTCAGATCTGAGTTGATAAGGCCCTTCACCACGGAGGTGGCAGTAGGAGTGGAAAGAAAGAGACCTAAATAAGAGTGTCGTGGTGGTAGAAAAGATAATACTTTTCAATAGATTGGATATGTGGGATGCGTTTTCTAAGAGAGGAGATGAGGATGACACAGAGGTTGGGAGCCAGAATCAGTGGTGTCAAAACTCAAATAGAGACAGGGACCACTGACCTGTACATAAGGATCCCTGAAGGCTATGTTTACTCAGAAAACCACATATTTATATCATTCATGTTCTATTATATTTTTATCTTATTAACTATTTTCCAATTACATTTTAATCTGATTGGGACATGTTTGACACTGCTGGCCTGGGTGACTGGGAGAATCATGATGCTCTGGGTGGGAAAAGGAAACTGGAAAGAGGGAAGGGCTTCTGAGGATAAGTTCTGTTTTAACCTGTTGATTTTGAGATGTCTATAAGGTATCCAGTGTGAGAGAGGAATCTCTGATTCTTGGTCACAGGGGATATCCCTAAATTGAGTAGTGTCCGCAAAGTACATGCGACTTCTAACAGGAGGCAAGGAACTATGGAAAACATTCATCCTCAGTCTGGGAAAAACAATTCAGTGTGTATTTTGATGAGAAAGGATAGTAAGCATCATATTATGCTAAAGATAACACTGTTATAAAGGAAGCAGGTGACTTCTGAAAGACCTTGATTTAGGTTTTAGCCACTTCTTACTTGCATCTTTTTGTAGTATTTTTCAGTACCTTTAAAATAAAAAAAAAGATTTTTATTGATAATTTTTGTTTTTACATCACCTGTATTTTCCCCTTATTCCCTTCTTTCTTTCCTCCTAGACAGTGAGTCCTTGTAACAGAATTTTTTCAAAAAGCAGAAGAGAAAACAAAATTCAGCAAAAGCAGTCAACACATCACAAAAATTTCACTTTGTGTTGGGACTTTATATGTTCTACATCTGTGGACTCCCACCTCTGCACAAGATCGGGGGCAGGGGTAGATGCCTTACGGAACTCTTCTTTGGGGCCTGTGTTTTATAATTTTGTGATGTTCAGTGTGGTCGTGGTTGTTGTTTCCAGTTACATCATTGTGGTCATCGTGTACATTGTTTCCCTAGCTCTGCTTATTCGTTTTGCATCATTTCATGTGTCTTTCCATGCTTTTATGTATTCATTGTGTTTGTCATTTCGTACAGCCCAGGGATGTTCTGTTTCATTCTTGTACCACAATTTGTTTAGCTTTTCCCCAATTGAAGGACATTTACTTTGTTTCTAATCCTTTGCCACCACAAAAAGCAGCACCTTTAACCTCAAATCAAATGGTGGAACTTGATGTCCTTAATGTCATATTGTTTTTATCGATAAACCTCCTTCTGTCTCACCTTGTAGGACGTGTGTGTGTGTGTGTGTGTGTGTGTGTGTGTGTATACATATTTCCCTTATCCACCTGCTTTGAAGAAAGAGTAGGAAAAATTCATTCTTGCTGAGGTATAAATGAGTGGTTACAATTTAGCAGATTTTAACTTAAAGGAAGAGACTCAATTGAATATCACTCATCAGTGAGTAGGTAGAAGAGGACTTCTTTTGAGTAGGAAGGTGTTTTGGAGTACCCTTGAAATTACGTCCTATCACAGAATGCTTAGTTTGCCTGTATGAAAGATATGAAATCACATATAAACTTATCTTATTTTTGGTCCATATACTTTTTGAGAAATAGTGCTGAGTGCTTGTGAAAGAGCAAATTACTAAGAATTATTTTCATGCATAAGAGTACTCATATATTAGAGGATACTATTAGTTTTCTTTTTAAAAAATTTTTATTCATTTTGAACTTAAATATAGTAAGACAAAAAAGAACATTTCCATGTACACAGCACAACATAAAAAGAGGATTCAATATAAAACCGTGAATTTCACAGTTTACTTTTTTTTGAAAAACTATGTAATAAATACTATACATCATTTTCAAAGCTACCGTGCTTTTTTGTGCTTCCTTCTAAGTTTTGTTCTGTGCTGTATACTTAAATTTTTTTTTCTCCTTCACTCCTCTCCCTGCCCTAGAGAAGGCTACCATTAGACACATATATGTATGTATATGTGAAACCATACTATATATATTTTTTTTGTTTATCACTTCTTTCTCTAGATGTGGATAGCATCTTCCTTCATAGATCCTTTGAAATTGGTTTAAATATAATAGTCAAAATGACTTAGTTGTTTAAAGTTGTTCTTAGAACAATACTACTGTTGCTGTGTACAACATTCTCTTGGTTCTGCTCATTTGACTTTCATTATTTCATGCAAGTCTTTCCATGTTTTTCTAAAATCAAGCAGCTCATCATTTCTTATAGCACAGTAATATTCCATCACGATCATATACCACAGCTTGTTCAGCTATTCCCCAGTTGATGGGCATCCCCATAATTTCCATTTCTTTGCCACCACAATAGAGCTGCTATAAATATTTTAGAACATGTAAGTTCTTTTTCTTTTTCCCTAATCACTTTGGGAAACAGATCTAACAGTGATAGTATTGCTGTGTCAAAGGTTGTACACAGTTTTATAACTCTGGGCATAATTCCAGATTGCTCTTCAAAATGGTTGCACCAGTTCACAGTTCTACCAACAGTGAATTAGTGTTCCAGTTTTTCCACATCCGCTCCAACATTTGTTGCTCTTCCTTTCTATCATTTTAGCTTATCTGATAGGTGTAAAATGATATCTCAAAGTCATTTTAATTTTCATTTTTCTAATCAATAGTGATTTAGAACATTTTTCCATATGACTATATGTAGTTTGATTTCTTTGTTGAAAAACTGCGTGTTCATATCCTTTGACCATTTATCAATTGGGGAATGACTCTTATTTGATATTATTATTATTATTATTATTATTATTATTATTATTATTATTATTATTATTATTATTATTATTATTGCTTTTTTGGTGAGGCAGTTGGGGTTAAGTGACTTTCCCAAGGTCACACAGCTAGTAAGTGTCCAGTGTCTGAGGCTAGATTTGAACTCACGTCATCCTGACTCCAAGGCTAGAGCTCTATCCATTGCGCCACCTAGCAGCCCCCATACTGTTATTTTTAAAGTGTCTTAGCTTGACTGGACATGAATCTTTAAAAAAAAACAACTTCATATAATGGCAATACAAAATGCTATAAATTTGACTGGTAAATTAAAGACATGTCCAAATTCTCATTTGATTATATTTATTCTCTCTTATTAGTCTGCAGAATCTCATTGGTTAACAGCAGAAGAAAGGAACCAAGTTATTCATGACCTCAAAGCCTCAGGATGGTCAGAATTAAATGAAAGAGATGCTATATATAAAGAATTCTGTTTCAAAAATTTTAATCAGGTAAGTGTTGATGTTAACATTTTTGTCATCTTGCGCTGGAAATGTTTCAGATGCTGTTGCTTTTCATACATACGTTGATGAGGATGAAATTGAGAAATCTGGAGAAAGAGTCAGAATTGATCTTTAAGTCAGTATGAAGTCAAAAGCTGTGCTGTCACTTCTCTTGAGCATTCCATCCAGGGAACCAAGCCTAGCAGGAAATAAGGAACAGCAATAGATAGGTTGGGGATTCAGATCACAAGGAGTGTGGAAGAGCTGATTCTGATTTAACTTAATTCACAACGTTTTGGTCTTTTTTGGAGTCTGTGTTCCTTCCTTATTCTCATCCTTCATAGACTTGTTGACATTTTTGTAGTCTGAAAACATTGTATTCTTTCTCGACTTACTCATTTACCAAGCATTTATTAAATGTGCCAGCCAGTATGCTTTGTGTATTGGATACACAAAGACAAAAACAAAACCATTGCTGTCCACAAAGAGGTTATATTCTATTAGAGACAATACATAAAATAGATAAATAAATGTAAAATATATACGGAATAAATGCAAATAACTGATTAGTTAGGCTTTGGGCTCAGTTGACTGGCCTCCCATGTTCTCTGTCCAGAGTCGAGATCTCTCCTTCAAACTCTATGCTAGACCCATCTGAGTTCTCTACTTTCATTGTCTCTTATTACCCATCCTGTAATCTACTTTTCCTATTTGCTCAAATTTCCCTTCATACAAGTATTCCTTTGCCATCTATTAATTTTCTTCCAGGTTTTAAAAGTTCCCGTATCCTTCCAACTCAAAAACTCTACCTTGAGCAGTTCTTTAACTCTTTCATCTTTTATTTGGCAGATATAAAGACTGGGCTTCGAGTTAGGAAGACCTGAATTCAAAATCAATTCAGACTAGCTGTGTGACCCTGGACAAATCACTTAACCTCTGTTTGCTTCATAAAATGGGAATAATATTAGTATGTACCTCCTATCAAATGAGATACTGTACTTAGCACAGTGCCTGGCACATAGGTATACACACACACACACACACACACACACACATCTATCTATATAAATGTAAGCTACTATTACTATTATTATTGTGATTTTGAGACAATTTTGGTTTTTTTCTCTTTGGCTCTGTAACGCTTATGACTTACCTTTCTCTCAGCCCACAAAACAGAGTATAGATATTGTTATGAACCCTATTCCAGTTATTTTTATGTCTCTATGTCTTTATGTCTCTTTAACACAAAACAAAGAAGTCACTTGAAGCCAAGGACTTCATTCATTTAAGTCGCTTAGTATAATTCCTAATGCCACCAAGTGAAAATAGGAAAGAAAAAATGTTCTCGATGAGGATAGTATTTAGTGATACCTGTTTAAGGTATACTGTTACTGTATTCTGCGTGTCTCCTCCTCCCCTCTCCCCCCATCTTCTCTTCCTGGTTATTATGTCCTGTGTAAGCTACAAAGTAGATGTTGACTGTGTCTTACTCTTAGCTTTTTGGTATGAGATAGCCCTTGAAGAGCAGATTGTTACTACTGATTCATGTTATCAGGAATATTTAGCAATGTCATGGAACTTGGCATCCGGTCATGGTGTGTAATCCCTCAGCAGTAAATTAGGAGTTGGGCGTTATGTTTTCAAAGTTTTTTGGCATTTGCATGTATTTGCACCATCATGAATTTTGAACAGACTTGAACATGTGACAGTGCATTTTGAGGGTTGTGGCCCAAGGTGTCTGTTGTTAAGTTACTGCTTTTGCACAATTTTTCAACTTGTGCTAAGCTTTAAAAAAACAAATGAAATGAAAACAACAACAACAAAAAAAGCCAAAACCCTGAAGGAAAAAAGAAAAACAAAACTTCATTTAACCAGAATCCAAGGAAGTGGAACACTTAATCAGCCAGAATTTTTTTCTTCATTGGACTTTTAGGAAAAAGAGGCAAATTCCAAGAATATAAATCAAGATCAGAGGTTTAGTAAAGAAGCTAACTTTAACAGTAAACCAACTTAAAAGGTACATCTTTGGGTTAGCAGCTCAGTCCTACGTTTTGTGCACATACAGGATTCTGCAGTGGTAATTGATGTTCAGAATATTGACCTCAGGGCTTTGCAAAGAATGATTGTTATGGCATATACTGGCTATAAGGTAGAAAACTAGATGAATATATTTTAGAAACATTTTCAGCGACAAAACTTTTTTTTTTCTGGTTGGTTAGGAAACACTAAGCCCCTGTACCTTTAGCATTTTTGATACTTAAATTTTTCAGTGGATATATATTATTTTCCTATACTGTGAAGATAAATGGGTTACAAAATAAAATTACATTTAGTTTTCTACTAAGGTTTTGAACAATTTTTTGGATCATTTTTAAAAATAAAATTTTATTGATGTCTTTTTTTTTACATTGCATAAATATCCCCCTCTACTTCTCCTGCCTGCTCCCAAAAAGCTATCCCTTATAATAAGTATTTTTATTTTAAGAAAAGAAAGAGGAAGAAGAGAAAAAAAATCAGCAAAGCTAATCAGTAAATTAAAAAAAATCTGACAATATATTCAGTGTTCCTATATTGTGGGCCTCCCACCTCTACAAAGGATAGGAGATGATATCTTTTCTTATCACTTCCCTGGAGCCAAATTTATTATTTAAAATTTTACGTCTTTCATTTTTGACTATTTTGTGGTAGTTTCTCTCTTCATTTACATTATTGTAGTCATTGTGTATGTTGTCTTCTCACCTCTGCTCACTTCACTCTGCGTTAGTTCATGTGTCTTTCCATGCTTCTTTTTTGTTTATATTTGTTATTTCTTGCAGCACAGTAATATTCCACTTCATTCATGTTCCACAACCATTCCCCAATCAATAGGTGTCTGTTTTGTTCTTTGCTACGATAGAAAGTTCTGCTATAAACATTTCAGTGTACAGTAAATGGAGCTTTTCTTTTTATCAGTTTCCTGCTTGGGGTATTTTTGGTGTATCTTTTAGTCAAATGGTATAGACATTTTAGCTACCTTATTTGTGTAATTTCAGCTTATTTTACAAATGGTTGCACTACTTCACAGCCCTATCAGCAATGCATTATGTGGGTGTCTTTCTACTACCCCTGCAACATTGCTTATTTTCATCTTTTGTCATCTTTGCCAGCTTGCTGGGTGTGGTGAAACTTTAGGTGTTATTTTAATTTGCATTTCTCTTATTATTAGTGTCTTGGAGAATTATTTTTTTAAATAAATTTTTATTGATTTCTTTTGTTTTTTCATATCATAATTTCCCCTACTGCCTTTCCCTTTCCCAAAGAGCTATCTCGTATAACAAATATTTTTTAAAGACTAAAAAAGGAATAGGAAAGGCAGCTTAACTGATCAATACATAGAAAAAGTCTGAAAATGTGTGTAATTGCACACATGTGTGGACCTTCTCCCTCTGCAAAGGAATGGGGTGAAGTTATCTTCTCATGTTTCTTCATTTGGATTATGTTATTCTTTGTAATTTTGCAGCACTCACTTCTGATTTTTATTTTTTGTGGTGGTTCTTTCTATTTACATTGTTGTAGTTACTATGTATATTTTTATTCTTGGCTCTGCTTCACTTAGCATTAGTTCTTATAGATGTTTCTGTGCTTCTCTGTATTTATCACATTCTTCATTTCTTATAGCACAATGGTAATGTGCCACATTTTGTTCAACCATTCCCCAGTCAGCAGGTGTCTGTTTTGTTTCCAATTCTTTGATATCATGATATCACAGAAAGTGCTTCTGAAAATATTTTTTGCATAAACAAGAACTTTGTTTTTATCAGTCTTCTCCTTGGGGTGTATGCCTAGTCATGGAATCTCTGGGTCGAAAGGTATAGGCATTTTATTTGCAGTGCATTTGCATATTTTCAAATTGTTTTCCAAAGTGGTTGTGCTGATTCACAGCCCCACCAACAAGGCAGTAGTGGGCCTGACATTAACTGTTCTCAGTCTATTGTCATTTTTGCCAGTTTGCTGAATGTGAAGTGAAACTTCAGAGCTGTTTTCCTTTGAATTCCCTGTTATTATTAGTGATTTGGAGCATTCTTTAATATTGTGGCTAATAGTTTGTAATTCTTTTAAAAGCTTTTTTGGATAATTTTTGATGGTTTATAAGGATTTGGTTTTCTGTCTGAAAGTTTTGGTCTCTGATGTGATTATTTTTAAAGGCTCTATGTTTACTCTGAAGATTAGATGAGGATAAATACCTGGTAAATCTGTAAATTGAAACCTGGACATAAATGGCAGTTACAGATGTGTGGAATAGTCGTTGTACTTTAAGCAGCTACTCTTAGCTCTTGCTGGTAGTACTAGAGCAATGAGTTGTGCAAAATTATGCTGTCTTTTGAGAACAGTAAAGAATATAGTATACCTTAATAAAAATAAAACACTGTGATCTGGTGACATGGTAACTAGCAATTGAATTGCTTAGAATGCCTGGTCCCTAAGGCGCTTGGCATTTGCAAATGAATTTGGATTTTCTGGTCATCTAGATATATATAAAGGGGTAAAGCCTTGTAAGTTGTCATATAAATCTGCTTTTAGGTGGTTGGCAACTGCAGGGAGTGTATATTGGAAAAATTTAGTGGACATGGACTTAAAAAGATTGAAAGTGGCTAGCTTTTCACAGCAACACTTTGAAAAACTAATACTATAAGAGGCTGATAAGTAACATCTTAAAGGTTGGTGGTCCTTAAACACTGAAACAATTATCAGAATTGATTTGATGTTTATGTTTTGTTTTTTCATATGTGTAAAATCTTTCTTTGATATTAGAAACCATATATAGAATATGTATGACATTCTAGTAGAAACTGGAAAATGCAAAAAAGGACTGGTAAGACATTGGGCCATGAGTGATCTAGGAACACCAACCATACGCCTTGTAAAGCATTATTTTGCATATTATGTAGTTTAGCATATCTATGTGTACCAAACAAAATAAATATTTGTGCTATGACAGATGCTATTGTCTCACTATTTTTTCCCCCTAG